GAGAGAGAGAGAGAGAGGTTCCTTTCAGCTGTTCTTCCCAGTGCTCCTCTCCCTCACACAGGAGCTGCAAGGAACAAAACACTAAAGAATAAACTGCTGAAATCTATCTTTAATGATTGCTAATTAGTCCAAGGCAGAGAGGCCTTTAATGATATGTGCGAGTACAAAAGTTTGGACCATAAATCATAGCATTATTAAAGAGTGCTGCTTGTCACTGGCAGTTATAGCCTGTTTCCATAATGGCTTCCATTATAAAGCAACTTGGCAGCTGTCAGCTGTTTTCTTGTAATTAAACAGCCAATGAGCAGCTAATTAAGACATATGTGTATGGAGCAGTAGAGTGGGGCATGTTAATGATGTGCTGGAATCAATTCATTAAGTCAAAGGATGAGGAATCCAGTCGGTGTGCATTCGCAATCCTTTAGCACTGCACATGCCAGTGCTGCGTTAATCAACACTAATAACCCCACTGAAGAAAAATACCATCCACTGTTATCAGTCCTACCCAAACACACCACCCTCCTGCTGTACACACTGGTGAAATACAGCGCTCTCTGAATGGCAGATGGTACAGCCAAGAAAATACCATCACAGTAGTGTTATTATCTAATCTCTTTGGCAGAAGTATAATAAGAATATAACCGCTAGGAAACAACTCACTTTTAAATAAGTAATGAATTTTTTAGCATTAAAACATTATGAAGACATTATGAATTGATCCTTCACTCCCAGAACATGGTTTGTCCAGTAACCCGAGGTGTTTCCATGCCCGTTTTCCTGTGCAGGGCTTCTTCAGGAGGAGTCAGCAGAGCAATGCAGCCTACTCCTGCCCCCGTCAGAAGAACTGCCTGATCGACCGCACCAGCCGCAACCGCTGCCAGCACTGCCGGCTGCAGAAGTGCCTGCCGTGGGCATGTCACGAGATGGTAAGTGCTTGATGGAAGAGGTGGGTGGATACAGCAGGGTGCCATGGTGAGGAGCCCAGGTTCAAGCCCCTGTGTGGGCCAGAATCTGCACTGCTGAAGCTCCTTTAGACAAGTGCTTCAGGCTTGCTGTTGTGGACTCTGACCTTCCAGGAGAGAAAGAAGATTCCTCATGGGGATCAATATATTTAATATATTTAGGGCCCGCTATTTGCTATGAGAAAAATCCAGGAATGTATCTGTTTATTTTTAAATTAAAAGAATGAATAATGGGGATAAAATCAATTACATAAAATACAATACAATTTACATTACAACCACTATGTAGTGCTTCTTTTTTTTTTTACTTACTTAGAGGGACTGATCAGCAGCTTATTTGCATTATCTACCCATTTTTCTCTGTACTTTCTGATTTTTTTTCTGAAATGTGCTTGTCACAAGATCTTTGCTGTAAACTACTGTGGTCAGCATCTTCTTGGAACTGCAACTTTTTTGGGTTGGAAAAAAACACACATAACTGTTGAAACAGCTTAGCTAGCTAGCAGCCTTTCAGTTGCCATTAACAACTGTGCGTGTTAATGATAAACTTGTACTGTTTGTCATTATTGTTATTCGCTTGTTTTTATTAATTGTTCTATGTTGATGTGGTTCTGTATATTATCTTAGTTGAGACAAAGAAAACACACAGATAATGACTGCCATTATTCTCAGAGAGAAATGACATATCCTAAGAAAATTGTGACATGAACACATGTTAAGACGTCAGTCCGTGTTCATTGTTTGCCAGTAGCAGGTGAGTGCTTTGTCTGTGAAACTAATTTGTTGCTTTGATAGAAACTAGGTTTGATGAAATAGGAGGTTGTTACAGGTTGTCATTAGTGCTGCTGCAGCTGAGATGCAGTAATGGGAGCACACAGGTGGGGATGTGTGCTGGAGGGCTCCTGCTGTTCCAAACTGGTCCAGACTGGGCTGGCCCACACTGGGCTGAGCTGAGGAGATTATGTCAGAACAGAGCAGATCTATTATGTTTTTTTTTGTTTTGTGGGTTTTTTTTTTGTAAAACACACACAGGAATGCACACAGACAAGTGAAAACCTGAACATACATGCAAAAGAGGCTGGTACATCTTTATGCACACTACTTTGCTTAAATTCAGTTCATACACATGCATACATATTCATGAATGTGAATGAACACAGAAGTACATTAGCACTTGCGAGTACCATTGCATAGCCACACACATTCTCACGTGCACATACACGCATGCACATATACACGCGCACTCAGGACAGACGAAGGTGACTCTTGCCTTCACTCAACACACCAGAGCCCATCTGCCTGCACTCTCCTCTGCGTCGCTCCACTCGCTTTCCACTGTGCTTAGACAAACACACACATACA